TGCGTTGAAGGATTGTGTGCTAATTGTACTGCACCAGCATTGTCAATGTACATAGTTGCTTCGATCGAAGAACTTCTGATTTCTTCTAACAAGCCTTTAAGCCATATAACTTGCTTAGCAGCTTCACTAGCAGCAACATATTCCGCTTCAGTAGTTGATAGTGAAATACAATTTTGTTTCTTTGAAAACCAACTAATGGCTCCGCCAGCAAACAGACATAGACATCCTGAACGTGACTTTCTGCTGTTTTCATCGCCTGCGAAGTCTGCATCGGTGTAACATTTCAGGATCTTCGGTTCATCGCTCCGCTTTGTGTAGTGTAGAACGTAGTCCTTAGAACCTTGCAGGTAACGAAGGATTCTCTTGACTTGGTTCCAGTCTTTGATGGTTGGACTAGTCACATGCTGTGCCACCATACTAACTGCATAGCAGATGTCTGGGCGAGTGTTTGTCAAATATAGCAAACTGCCCACAGCTTCACGATACGGCACTTCTGTTGATAGAGGCTTTGTATTTGTGTTGACATCGGATTTGTCAAATGGTGTTGACACTGCGTTACAGTTCGACATCCGATACCTTTCTAGAACTTGATCTAAGTATGCCCTCTGGCTGAGAACTATTCCATCACTTGTTTGAACAATCTCGATTCCAAGGTAAGTTTCAGGTTTTGATACTTTGATTTTGAAGTTTTGTTTCAAGTTCTGCACAAATACATCCACTTGTTTCTCACTAGTACCACATATGAGTCCATCATCCACATTATATGATGACGAACATTTTTTCGCCATTTTCTTCACGAAGGAACAAACAAGGATCTTCTGTACTCGGTTTGAAATGTTGAGATTTCATGAACTCAGAAAGTCTTTTATTCCAACACTTAGGACTTTGCTTAAAGCCGTATAAACTACGTTGTAGTTTCCACACTCTTCCGGAGTTGTCGTTATATAACCTTCAGGTTGCTCGACATAAACCTCTTCATCTAGCTTTGAATGTAAAAATGCTGTTTTTACATCAAATTGTTTCAAAAACATGCTTTCCTGTGCTGCTATATTTAATACTGTCCTTAGAGTATCAAATCTTGCTACAGGACTGTAGGTGCTAAAATAATCTACTCCTTCTTTGTAAGAACCCATCTTACCCCAATTGCTTTCTTGTTCTTGGGTAACGGTACCAGCTTATAAACTTGGTGTTTCTGAAGAGATGCCATCTCACCATTCATAGCTGCCTGCCAATGAAACCATTCTTCACTACTAACGGCCTCATTATATGTTGGTCCAGCTTCAGCTGCAACAACATAATCTTGAAGATAACTAGGTGGTTGCCTTTGCCTTCCCGGTCGATCTTCTTCTTCCGGTTGTTCACAATATTCAATTTCATTAGGTTGATCTTCCTCTTCCGGTTGTTCACAATATTCAATTTCATCAGATTCAGCTTCTTCATTTTCCTCTTGATAATTGATTGGCTGACTCTTGTCTTCGCATAGGATAGGAATGGATACGGTTTTGTCAAGTTCTTTGTCTTCATCAGGAACAGTCTTGGCCCAATCTTCTGTGATGCCCTCTGCTCTGACAACCTCTCCTTTCTAATAAGGTTTAAAGACAACATCTCTACTGACCACTATTGTGTGACCGTTGTAGACTCGAAAGCCATCTCGTTCATCGCAATACCCAACCAATTTTCCTGGAACTGATTTTGCTGACCATTTCTTCCGTTTCTGTTTTGGGAAATGCACATAGCATTCTGCACCAAACGGTCGAAAATGTTCAATTGGTGCTGGTCCTTTTCCATACCAAAGTTCATAAGGTGTACCATCTGTACTTGTTGGTCCTGTCCGATTGATCACATGACACGCCGTGTTCATTGCCTCTGCCCATAAGCTCTTTGGCAATCTTTTTGAATACAACATGCTTCTTGCTGATTCAACTAACGTGCGCATTTCACGTTCAATAGAACCATTTTCTTCTGGTGTATAAGGCATAACAGTTCTCATAGTGATGCCTCGTTTAGCAAGCAATTTCTTCACTGCAAAATTATTAAACTCAGTCCCACCATCACTCATAAACGTTTTTACGACATGTCCAGCAGTTTGACATTCATTCAAGTCCAGCAGTTTGACATTCATTCAAGTATGTCTCAATACAGTCTGTAACCTCCGTCTTATTTTTGATGAAAAATACTCTTCTGAATTTAGTAAAGTAGTCCTTGAAAACCAGGCAGTAGCGATTTCCTCCTAGAGAAACGTTTTCCATAGGACCACAGAGATCTCCACTTACTATTTCTCCTCCAATTGTTGGCCTTACAGTTCGAGAATGGTATGTAGCTCTGTGTTGCTTGCCTAGTACGCAACCTTCACAAAATTCATCTTCTACCTTGACATGTATTCCCCTGCTTTTAAGAGTTTTTATCACATGTGTCTTATTTTGATGAGCCAGAGATTCATGCCACTCTTGGACAGTTTTCAGTTTACTACTCTATCAGCTTCTGCATGCGGCAACAGAACATCCATTTCAACTTCATATAGTCCATTTACACAATGTCCATACAGCTGTGCAACGTTATTCTTCATGAAGACACATTTTTCTTTAGTTACTTTGAAACTAAATCCTTTCTTCACTGTTGTGCTGACTGACATCAGGTTCCTTCCTAGCTTGGGAACGTACCATACATTCTCTAAAGTTGTGATGTATCGGTTCTTACCAATATTCACACTTACTCGAATACTTCCCTCTCCAACTGCCTCAACATCTTCACCGTTTCCCACAGTGACGTTAATTGGTGAAGTAAACCTCTGATATGTGTGAAAGAAGTCCCTCCGGAAACACATATGCTGCGATGCTCCAGAGTCTGCAATAAAGTTGTCTTTCCTGTGCTCCTTTGCTACAAAACACAAGAATGGACCAATGTTACCTTTTCTAGGCTCAGTCTTGTTCTTGTCTTCTTTTTCTGATTTCTTTGGACACTGACTAGCATAGTGTGGTCCCTTACAAATAAAACACTTTATTTTCTTCTTTACAGAATGCCTTTTGCCTTATGAGAATGAACTTGTGCTATTTCTACTAACCTGTAAGGCTTGACCATTATCAGAATTCATAGACCTAGGTAGCCTGGACTCAATCAGACGAATTCTCTCTATTAGCAAATCAACACTTCTGTCTTTCACTGGTATGCTTTCCCACACACTCTTGAACTCAAAGAATTCTTTAGGTAGTGTACTCATAATCCTTGACATCAACACAAGTTCTGGCAGTTCTGAAGCTTTATTCTTTTTAAGTTTATCATTCACTTCTCTGAAGTTTAACTGCAATCTTGAGATATATTTGATCAAATCTTCTCCATCAGTTATACTAGATGTAAAGAACTGTTCCATTGTTCTATCTAGTCTCTAACTTGATGATTGTTCATATATACTCAACAGCTTCTGCCACATTTCATGAGCACTATCACAAGTAGCTGTTAATTCTACATGTGAATCGTCGAGAGCATTTACAATAAGTACCTGAGCAAAGGTGTCACCTTTCTTGAAATCCTTAAGCTTCTGCTCCTCTGTTTCTTCAGGCCTTGTCCTTTCACCAGTAATCAGATCACTAATTCCATGATGTCTCAAAACTAATTCCATCTGGCGTTTCCACCTTCTCCATGATTGAGAGTTGCTCAGTTTTTCAACATTCACTCTTAAATCCATTCTTTTAATATTTTCTGTAGCCCATAACCAAATAAAAACAATAATAAAAGTTGGATAAAGAAATTAGGTTTTTATTTTATTTAACAAAGCCCATGTTATGAGTAGAATCAGAATCATTTGTTATTATTCAATAATAAACAACACATGTTCTTAAAGAATATTAATACCAAACTCACAGGCTCACAGGTTTCAAATTTTTTTTTAATTGTTACTATTATAAAAAACAACAAATAAGATAAAATCCTGCTAAAATTAATGAAAGCCATAAGGTATGTATTCAACGTGAATTTAGTTTAAAAAATTAAATTAATTCTTGTCCGTTAAGAAAACATCAGAATAGAAATCTTCTATTTTATAATATGCCTTTTCAATTAATAACTCGTGTAATTTTTTTAGGAGTATGTTTTTTGGATTGTTGGTGATTCTTTTTGGTAGTTTATTAAAAATTTGTATACCCATGTATTTTGGTGTACGTTCAAAAAGAGTTAGTCTATGTATTGGGAATTGATATAAATGTTTCTGACGTGTGGAATAAATATGTGTAAATATTTAAACTCTTCAAAATTGTCTATATTGTTAATTAATAGCTTAATCATTTCAAAAATGTACATACTTGTGATGGTTAAAATCCCTAAACTTTTAAAATGAGGTCTAGAACTTTTTTTCTTTGACACTTTAACCATGGTACCGGTACGTACAATTGATTTTTGTGCGTTTATAAGTTTTTTTGTTTTGGGACTGGATCCCCAGAGTACTATACCATACCTTATTATAGAATCAATATAGGCACAATATACTAATTTACATACTTCCAGAGATGTTGCATTGGTACAGGTACAGAGGAAATATTCTATGTTATGCTTAAGTGTCCAAATGTCTTAAAAGTCCAACACCGCCCCCCTCGCTTTCATGTACTACAACGCTCACGGTGGAGGAACACCCAGCTTGTGCCCTGTGTGCGGTGCTCGCCGCTCTTCCCTGCTCCTTACAAGTATATTCCATGCACAACATACTCGGGCTGTAAGCTCCCTTAAGCAAGTTCCTCTGTAGCTTACTTCTCTGTGAGGGATAGAAATATTTTTAAAATAAATTTTTTGAATGAACTCTAAAACCGAGCTTACAAAAGTTATGTTAGAGTTTACAAAAAATGTTTAAAGTCTTTGGTTATTAGCCTATCACTATTAAAAATCAATGGCACTATAATTCCAAATACAATCTTCCCATGCAGAGTAATGTAAACTCAGTTTTAATAGACTCGTTAATCATCCTCTTTAATTATTTATGCTAGATTAAGTTTATTGAGTCAGATTTTGATCACCTTCCCAAAGAAAGCAACCACTGCTAGTCCATCTGGATGCTTCATTGCTTCCGATTTGTTTCCATATTTCGAATTAAAATGTACACAGTGCCCTTCAACTGCATATCTGGAACAAACGACAGAGGACATAAGTGTATTTTGATCAATCGTAACAAATTAAAATTGTGTAAAGCAGAATTACCTAGGTATATTGTTAATGCCATTGTACTTTTATGAAATTAAACAATAGAGGTATCTATTGTTGAAGAATTGAGATAAAAATAAAATGGGTTATTTAAAAAGGGTGATTATACTTTTGAGGAAGTAGTCATCGCAAAACTAACCGAATGTTAGGAGTACATTTCTTGAACACAGGCGGGGCACACCCAGACTTTTGATTTGGGGGGGGGCACCTTGAGTATGAACTTTGCCGGGGGTCTGGGGGGTTTTTAGGCTATTTAGGGACAAATAAAGAGATTTTTTTACTGTGGAAAAACATTTTTTATTGACCAACTTTCTGATTTATTTACAAGTGATTTTGAGTTTTATACAAAAACAATATTGGTATTTAGGGAATAAATAATACGATTATAATTTTAGCTGTGTAAATATAATTAGAACAAATTAGATATAAGTTAAAGTTACAGATTTACAAAACCAAATCTAGATGTCTAGACGATCTTTTGAGAATAGAAACTACCTCCGTACTAGTGACTTCAATTTCTCTGTGAATATTCAAAGCTGCAAGTCCACTCAGTCTACAAACACAGCTTGACTTGATAACATCACAACAAACACTGTACAAAAAAATTCAATCTTGTACTCAGATCCAAAATTTAACGATTGTCAACTACACACAGCACACAGCGCGAGTGCGTTAAGGTCAAGTGAGCATTGTGCTGTCTCTGTCTGTCTGCATAAATACTTGTTACAAAACGCGTGCTCCTTGCTGTATTTAATTTAAATCTTGTTGTAAGAATAGTTTTAAAGTTAATGATATTTTAAAAACTAGTGAAAATTTCACGTATTTACAGCTGACTCCTGACCCTCGTAAAGAGTTAACCCTAGGTTCTTGGGGGCAAAGCCCCCCCCTGGGTGCGCCATTGCTCGAACATTTATTTTTTTATGTCAATGCCTGTATCGTACTCCTTCTGTATACTTTCAATTTAGTAGGAAAATATTTAATAGATTTTTCTATGTATTGAAGGCAATCTGCCACCTTAATTATATTTTTTTCATCTTTTTGGTGAATTTGGCTAATAACTTTTTTGTTTGTTTTATTAGTGTTAGGAATAAGGTTTCCAGGTGGAATTCTTTTTTTTTACCCTTTCATGTATTTTATAATTTGAAATGTTAAGGTTTTTAACCCTTTCCGCTCGTATGTCGCGGTGGCCGCAACATCCATTTTTGACGCTTCCACTCGAATGTCGCGGCTGCCGCGACATTGTTTTAAACTACTCTAAACTCACTTTATATAGTGCAGAAATGTTTAAAATGATAAGAAAGACTGATCAATGGTTTTCTCAACTTATTTTAGCTGCCCTTGGATCAAAGAAAACAACCACGAACGATTTAGTTGGCTTTGAAATAAGTTTGGTCGCCGTGGAAACCAAAAATTCCAAAAACTCAAATTTTAGAAATTTACATATTTTATTCATAATAATACAAGTAAATGTTTATGTAATTGATATTTTTTGTTTGTTTTTACATAAGGAATGTAAATAATATTTTTTCAATACTCTAAAAAAAGTTTTATATTTTTATTTTGCCTAAATATATGGATTTTGTAAAAATTTATTTTGCTTTTGTTTATTTATGACCATACCAAAAATAAAATTTTAAAACTAAAATTGTAATTTTATGTTTATATTGTATAATAATTTATGCTGAATAAGAATCAATAGCTCAACCTTATTAAATAACTAATATTAGATAAAAAAAACACTAAAAACCAAAAACATGCCATTTTTCTTTAAATTAAATGCAAGTGTGAGGGAACAGCCATGCAAAATAATTCGAGTGGAAAGGGTTAAAATTTTTTCCGACATATTTTAAATTTTGGTGGTAAAAATGTCATAATTCGATGTATAATACTTTAGAAGTTATTCAAATTTTTGTAACAAGAAACACGGATAATCCAACTTTTGGGAATCCGAGTTCAAAGTTGAGGCCTACACAGGAAAGCTCTGTACCGGCATATTGCCACTAGGCAATACCATAGGCTTTTTTTACATAGATGTTATATATACGAATATTTATTAATTTTTTATTTATTTGTGACATCAAAGGGATGCCTGTTTTATTATGGGCCATATATGTCTGAAAACATTTTGATAAACAACAAACCAAAATATTAGAGTAGGCCTACCTATAAATATAATTTTTCTGATATTTCGTGTAACTGCGGTACCTGACATTTTATTTGATTTATTTTTCTATAAAAAAAATTATCAGATTGACATGAAAATTTACACATATACTCAGAAAAGTATGCAGAATAAGAAAATAACATATTTGGAAAATATAAAAAAATTCTAAAAAATGGCCATTTAAAGGTGGCGGATATCAATTAAGTGGTATTGCTACCTAGGGTGTTAAACATTTAGCCAGTAAGATATCTAGATATTTAAATAAAAACTTAGTCAAGTAGCTACCTTTTTCAATTTATAACACAGTTACCCCAGCAACCCTCATTCACGGAACCTTTTTTTTTGTTTTTTTTTTTAACATGGTTATATTTACAATCTGTTTTGCATTAAACAATAAGTAAATATGATGACATTTTTCCTTTTTGCTAAACCCATAATGTACTACTAGGCTATGGTAAAAAAAAACAAAAAAAAAACACTAATATTCTATGTAAAATCCACTGTGATTTTATGTATTTGTAATACAGCTCTTTAAGTGTATTTCTATTACACTAAACAAATTGTAAAAAAATCTTGCTGAACATCAAACAAAAATAATTTATTGAGTTTAATAAAAATTAAACAGTACACAGTGGACGACAAATCATTTGCAACTATGGGGATGAAAACAAACTTTCAGGTTTGAGTTGTACTTTAGGTACATGAGGAAACTTTTCATGTGCCACTAAAATACATAATAGTTCACATTCCACAAATTCTATTTCTTCAAAAGTCCACCGAGGAACTTCTCATCAAGACTAAGAATGGTTGTAATTTTCCTGATTACTTCTTGAGTTTCCAATAATATTGCAACGTCTTGAGCAAGTGATCTCAATTGGTTTATCCTAACAAAGAGACACTCAAACATGCCGTAGAGATTGAATTTTCGACAAACGGAGTGTTACAAGTCAACAACTCCAAGCAACAAATTTTATCTTCCAATGGTCTCAAATCACAACAAAGATCATGAACTTGGCAATTTAAAATTTTTTGAGTTGCTTGTAACTCTTTACACGTTTGTAAAAGCTCTTCAACTTTTTTTTGATTGAGACGAACAATTACTTCTCGTTGCCTAAGATCTCTGGCCATTCTATGGAAAACTTCCTCTTCCTCCTCTGTTTCAAGACACCACATTGCAAGCAGATCCTCAAGTTGTTGAAACGTAAGAGTTTTTTTACTCCAGGCTGCGTAACAGTTAGTCATTTTTAGTTTAGACTCTTACCAACTATATCGATAGTAATTGTTTGTATTTTATGTTCTTCTCCGTCACTGCAGGATTCGCTCGAACTGAGTTCCGAGGTACCAGAGGAAATTTCGGAGACACCACATGATCTACTGCTGTTTCTTGATTGCCTTCTTCTGGCGGGTTTTTTTTTTGGGTTGTGCTGGTGGTTGAGATTTTCCTGATCCTTGTCCTTGGTAGTTAGAAGGATTTGTACCTGGAGAACGGGAGGTACAGGGATTAGAAGGGGGTTTTGAAGGCGAAGGCTTAGAAGGATTAGGGGGTGTTGACCCTTGAGGCGGGGATGTACAAGGACTGGAGGGGTTTGAACCTGGAGGTGGGGACGTGGAGGGATTCGACGGAGTTGGTCCTGTTGACGGGGATGAACTAGAAGATGGTGGGGGATGCCCCTGTTTAGGAGGGCTTGTCTGACAACTACTACACACTTTATTTGGAACCTCAGTGTTTGTGCTAGCCTCACTGCTTGAGGGTTTGATCACTCCGGTAGGGAACACCGGAACATGAACGATGTTGGGCGGAATTTCCGGAGCAAAAAAATCTGAACTTTCTTTCACAAAAACAAACCGCTTTTCCTCCTCAGTGTGAATGATGACCAAACCGCCTGGTCCGGCAGTAGTGGTACTTACTGCTTTGATAGGCCTAATATAACCTGATGAGTCTGATCTTAGTGTTTTAACTACTAAATTATTTACATTTTGCATATTTTGTTTTGGTCCTGTTCACTAACACAGCAAATGTCAATTTCATTATTTTACAAGTATATTTTGAAGACTTCCTTTGAAATAATTTATAAGCACTGAAAATTTAGTACAATTTTTTGAATGTTTATTTAGGTGTAATTGTATACAAACACTGAAAGAAACAGATGAATGTTGTTATAAAATCATATGCTTTTTTCTGATCACAAAAGTAGAGTGAATTTTGGGGATTGTAATAGACAGTATATTCTTTGTTGACAAGTTAGTATAACTAGGTGGCGTTTGCAGATGCATCCACAAAATTGAGCGGAGTCATCAAGGGTTCATATTATATTGTTTTTGTCATACTGCAGTAAAAACAGTCGTCATTGATGCATGCATTGTGGGTCTAAAGTAGCATTTTTACTCTTTAAGAAATAAAATTCGTTTTTAGCATCTATGGAGTAAAACTCAGCTGTTGTCAACTCAGCTGTAAATTTCTATTGTAAACGATTAAATACGAGTAGTTATGGAAGGAGATGATTTTATGGAGAATTGAAATGAAATTGAAAATTTTCATTTTGATGTTAGTGTTATGGTATTTTTGATTGGAGGGGTACATGTGATTGAAGGTTGAGGGTGGGGAGGTGTTATTGAAAGAGAGAGAGAGAATGAAAGATAAATGGAGGAGGAATAAGGTAATGAAAGAGAGAGAGTAATAGAAATGGGAGAGTAATAGAAATAGAGTATGTGGGGGTGGGAGAGAGAGAGAATGTGGGGGTGGGAGAGAGAGAGAATGTGGGGGTGGAAGGAAGAGATAGATGTGTGAGAGAGAGAGAGTGAAAGGGTAAATGTGGGGTTTGGAGTGAGAGAGAGAATTTAGGGGAGGTGTTATTGTACATGATGATGTCATTGATAATGTAAGGTGATGATGTAATTGTGGGAGTGGGGGGTGTGATTGTTCTTGTTCATGGTGGGTGTGGGGGTATTGGTTCATGTGTGTGTGTGTGTGTTTTTTTTTATTATAAGTTTTCTTCATATATCAATTCAATAACATTTAAACTGTCCACATAGAACAAGTTTTCTTCATATATATATCAATTCAATACCATTTAAACTGTCCACATAGAATAAGTGGAGTATCAATGGAATCTGACATTCTAATGAATGGTTGTATAGAAACTGTAGGGATATTTATATATGTAGTTTTATTTTAAATTTGAGTAAATATATATAAAAATTGAAATTGTTAAAGTCATTAATGATAAAACAAAATCTACAAATCTTGAGTTTTTTTTTAAACTGAAAATATGGAGTTAGTTTAAAAAAAAAAATAATAAGATTAAAGAAGTCGTAAAACCTAAAATATATGCTCAATTTGTTATCATTTGAAAGATTTTAAATTTTGTTAGAAATAAATATAGAAAACCCACTAACTGTCAATTATTGATTTCATGAGTTTATACATGGCAACGTGCCGTATTATGGTATGATACTTTCTCTTATACAGGGACGCGTGTTGGAAGTTGATACGTTTGAAGGAGGTCTCTTACGATTAAACAATTGAGTATTAAGAAACAATAAAAGAACATCTTGAATCAACCATGCTGTATGAAATTGTTAAAGTCAGTAATAATGAAACAAAATTGACAAATCTACAGAAGTATATTAAGTAATACTATTTAAAACCCATAAAACCAACTGTTACTGTTGAGGTTTCAAGAAGAAAAAATTAAATTATTAATTGACGATAAATAAATCCATTCAGAAACAATTTGAGTTAATTGTGATTTATCAGCATACTGTTGGTGTATACAGGAGGTACATTTACATCTTCTTTCAAAGATAGAAAACATTACGTGATCCATTACAAGACCTTAGAACAAGCTCTGTCAATGGGTATGATACTAGAGAAAGTCCATAGAGTAATTTCATTTAACCAATCATGTTGGTTAAAACCCTACATAGACATAAACACCCAATTACGAACAACCTACTCACACGATAAAACCCTCTCAAATTTCTTTAAACTCCAATCGAACTTAATCTATGGCAAGTCAATAGAAAAAGTAACTGAAAACCTAAACAAATACTTCCTGTACAACAACACTAAGAAACTCATGTACTTAATAAAACAACCTACGTTCATAGACAGACTAATTCTAAATGAAAACAATTATATAATATTCATGAAAAAGAAAAGGGTCCAGTCCAAGAAACCCATACCTGTAGGATTTTCAATACTAGATCTAAGTAAGAGATACATGTACCACATGTATTACAATAACTTGAAAAAGTACTTCCCACCGTTCAATTTAATATAGGTACACAGACAACGATTCATTTGCAATACAAGTATTTACTTCCATTTCATTTACAAAAGATCAACCTTTCATTTCTAATACTCTCTTAGGTAAATTTAAAGATACATCTCCTAATAATCCCATACTAGAATTTGTTACAGTAAGAAGTAAAACATACGGTTACAGGACATTAAAAGATACCATACCACGACTAAAGAATTTACCCAAATCTTTTAATTTTACAAACTATAAAAACATACTACTATCCATTAAAATGTACAACACCTATAACAGAGTAATTGATAATAAACTATACCAAATAATACAGAATAAAGCAGTTATAAAACACACACACACACACACACGCACACACACCCACACACACATAACACATAACACAATTACATCATCATCATCATGAACAATCATCCTCTCACTCTCACTCTCTCTCTCTCTATCACTATCACTCCTATATCTCCTCTCTCTCTCACTCTCTCTTTCAATACCCCTCTTCCTCCCCCATTTTCTCTTTCACTCTCTCTCTCTCTCTCTCTCTCTCTCACTCCCAACACACATTCTCTCTCTCTCTTTTCAATACCCCTCTTCCTCCCCCAATTTCTCTCTCACTCACAACTCCAAACATTCTCTATTCCTCTCTCTTTACATTACCCTCTTCATCCTCCATTTTCTATTTCATTCTATCTCACACTTTCATTCTCTCATTCTCTTTCAATAACCCTCCCCTCCCCTCAACTTTCAATAACACCTACCCCTCCAATCACAAATACAATCACAATCACACATATATGAAAATTTTCAATTTCATTTCAATTCTCCATAAAACCCTCTCCTTCCATAACTACTAATACGTATCGAAATATGTAACGATTTGTGCTTCATAATCATTTTAACCTACAGTCTACAGTCTCTTCCCATAGCATTTTAGCATTGCAGATACATAATCCATTCCCACACTCAACCTTGCCCACCTTTACTACTTCCTTCACCACCCCTTACGTCGTGGACCTGTTTCCCTCTCTACCCATAGCATTTTAGGATTGCAGATACATTAATGTAATTTTCAAAGACAGTTCCCACACTCTGCACTGCAAGCCTTACTACTTCCTTCACAATTTCCTACGTCATAGACCTGTTTCCTTCCCTTCTCATAGCATTTAAGTATTAGATACATTTATCTAACTGCCCAAACGGTTCCCTCACTCTGCACTGCCAGCCTTTAATACTTCCTTCACCACTTCCTACGTCGTGGGGCCTGTTTCCTTCCCTTCTCATAGCATTTTAGGATTGGAGATACATTAATCTAACTGCCACAGACGGTTCTCACAATATTTTCATACTTTACTACTTCCTAAGCCACTTCCTACATCGTGGACCTGTTTCCATCACATTCCATAGCATTTTAGTATTTTAGATACGTTAATCTAATTGCCACAAACATTCCCCACACTCCGCACTGCTAGCCTTTACTACTTCTTTCACCATTTTCTATGTCGTGGGCATGCTTCCTTCCCTTCTCATAGCATTTCAGCATTGCAGATACATTAATCTAACTGCTACAAACGGTTTCCAGTTCCCAAACTCCACACTGCTCACCTTACTACTTCCTTCACCTCTTCTTACGTCGCAGATCTGTTCCCCTCTCTTCCCATAGAATTTTAAGATTGTAGATACCAAGATACCTTAATCTAATCGTCATAAACAGTTCCCACACTACGAAAAACTCGCCTTTACTACTTCCTTCATCTCTCCTACGTCACGGACCTGTTTACCTCCCTTCCCTTAACATTATTGGATTGCAAATATCTTAATCTATTGGTCATAAACAGATCCTACACTCCGGACAGCTCACATTGACTACTTCATTCACCCCTTCGTACATCGCGGACCTGTTTTCCTCCCGTTCCATAGCATTTTAGGATTCTAGATACCTTAATCTAATAGTCATAAACAGTTTCCACACTCCGGACAGCTCGCATTGACTATTTCCTTCACCACTTCCTACGTCGCGGACCTGTTTTCCTCCCTTCCCATAGAATTTTAGGAATTCAGATACCTACCTAAATCTAATCGTCTTAAACAGTTTCCACACTCCGGAGAGCTCACCTTGACTACTTCCTTCACCACTTCCTACGTCGCGGACCCGTTTTCCTCCCTTCCCATAGAATTTTAGGAATGCAGATAACTTAATCTAATCGTCATAAACAGTTCCCACACTCTTTACAGCTTGCCTTGACTACTTCCTTCACAACTTCCTACGTCACGGACCCGTTTTCCTCCCTTCCCATAGAATTTTAGGAATGCAGATACCTACCTAAATCTAATCGTCTTAAACAGTTTCCACACTCCGGAGAGCTCACCTTGACTACTTCCTTCACCACTTCCTACGTCACGGACCTCAAGCTAGTGTCGTCATTTGATTATATTTATGATCCATACCACCGTTTATGTTCTAATATCTGTGGAATAATGCTATCAGCTATTTATTTATCTACTGCATTCAAAAGTCAACAGCTGATCATATGTCTTTGTTTATGTGTCAAATACTGCTTCCATAAGGATTACATTGAAACTTTGAGACCCAGTGGGGCAGATTCCTGAGAGACTTTTTTAACACCATATAGATGTTGGCACTCACCGATATGGTCTTTATCACCATGCAAAATTTGAAAACGATTGATTCAGCCGTCTAGGAGGAGTTTGCGTATTACGAAATGCATAAAAGTCTACGTATAAGAGCTTCGCTCGCTTCGCTCAACAACTTCATAAGTGTTTTTACAATGGTTTTCTATATGGAGTGATAAAACTGAGGTTTGCTTTTTTTTAGTGAAACTCCAAACCTTTTTCAGTGTCCTTCCATATTTAAGAGAGTGTCCTATTACATTTTATTACAAGTTGTGCACATACCTTCTGCTGTTTATTTTATGTTCTCCGCCAATGAAGTCCCGAGCACCCCAATGAATATGAAGGTTGTCAAACTCAAACACACCTTCATTAAACAGAGGTCCTCCAAGTAATTTGGGTCTCCATGAAGTATGTTCTGGTAGTTCAAACTCAACTGAAATCGGAAATAGGTACTTGTTAAACCCCATTCAGTGGTGATTTGTCTTAACAGTAAGGTTATAGATACATATTAATTTTTTAAATCGTATAAAATAATAATAAATCAGCCTATTTTTCAAAATTTGTATTAAGACCAAATGCAATTATCAGGATTTGGGGTTGACATCTCCCACACACTAAAATATGAAATGAAAAAAAGGATAAAGACACTTTCAAAATATAAAAAAAACACCAAAACATTCTCTTTGAAAAATCACAGGATATTTGTAAAAACCGAAAAGAGGGCTGTAAAAACGCTTTGCAATGACTATCGCTATGATAAATTTCACATTGGAAAAATTGGCAGGTCCTTTAAGAGATTTAAACACCTTCCTAAGAAAACCAGTGACCAAAAATCCTATTTTGGCTACCATCTACCATCAACCTACACAGGAATAAAATCTACACTGAAATAAAAGAAAATTTGTAAACATATATGCCAAAAAGGCAGAACCATGACAGCATTGGAACAATTCAAGATTTGCAAATACATTAAAACCAGTAAAAATAATCTGTTGAATTACAAAATTACCCTACAGTCCAACATTCTTTTTTACAATTAAAAAATCAGACTAGCCCAAACAATGCTTCACTCACGTCATCAGGACAAAGTCAGAACCAGATCACTACCAGGATCTGTGGTCCTTCTATAATCGAGTCTCTACACGTCTGTCACACCTCAATACTGTCTTGCCCAAGCTCGCATGTTGAGTAAAACATGTCAAATAGTTGACTAGTGTTTAGTTTTGTTTGTGAACTTTTGATACACCTTCTCAGGAGTTCATAAACAGATCTGATGATGGTGGAGTCGCCAAAATGTGCATAATTCAGTGGGATAAACTTGGACCAAAAGGGGACAACCTTATACACACCAACATACACATATTTAAAGACGAAGACAAGTGAATCATGAGCTTTAAACAAATGAGATTACAGCATTGTTACTAAGTACAACTTGTTCTTAAGCCAGAATCATTTACTAAACGCCCAATGATCATGGACAGCTGAAGCTAGATTAGAACAATTGAAGGGATATTGACTTTTCTTGGGATATAACCCGCAATACTTAGCTTTGGGTTTGAAATTATGCATCAGCCAAAAGATAATATCCTCAAATACTTCACCCCATAATTTTACGATAACTGATTTGAGCTTGGCTGTACTGGTTAAGAGTAACCCAGGTTAGTCGGAGGTCATTTCCACACTTGGTTTTATTCTGGATGTGCTGCCGGAGTCAAAATTCGAAACAAGATCCGTAATTAAATCAGGATATTTGTGGGTTTATTGAGACCATAAGGAGAAAGTAAATTAGAGAGTTTAGAAACATCACTTACCAGTTGTGCCAGTGTTTTGGCATTGTAGTTCAACTTCATCTCTAAATAAGTCTTTGAAAATAAGTGGAGGAAGTCACAGCACCTGAATTAAGAAATAAACTTTTGTAAAATTATGACTTCTTTAGATACAAATAAATTGTTATATTTACTTGTAGTATATGCCCAAACATTTTTTTGGTATAAAATAATAATAGGGGATTTTAACTAGCAAATTTGCTACTCCATAGTTCAGAAAGCTGTATCTCTTATTGTAGGTGCCTATGAGGCAAATTTGTGTTTTTTTTAGTTCTAAATCAATCGACCTATTTTTTTTATTTAAAAAAATATTTTTTCAACTACATTACTGATGGACTACATTAGTCAAGAGAAAAGCAAAAGTTAAGTTTAGAAATGAAATTATCCTTTTTCAACAAAGAGATTAATTATTGTTCTTAAGGATCATTCTTAAGGACAAGAGGATGGTACTAGATAGTAAGACTTTCCACTAGAATTTTACATAAAATAATTACCGCTGCATGACTGCTCCTTATGTTGATGGGAGATTGTAATGAGGGTGAGTAGAAGTAGAAGTGTGGCTATCTGGAGTAGAAAATACTCAGTGAAACCAATGCGGCACTTCTAGAGGCCATTTCTGCAGGGCTGCCAACATAAAAAAAACTTAATGTACACTCATCATACCAACTAATTACATGTCACCAATGTAACCTAATAATGCTTAACACTTACTTATATATTGAATTTTTCAAAGATAAGTGTACATATGTTAGCAAGACATTACCTATATTTTTACAAATTTCAAATGTAATCTGATTTAAGCATTTTAAAGCAAACTTGTTTTCTCAATGAAAATTTTGGATCTTTATTTAATTTCCGGCTTTAAATCTGTTATAGTCACCGGTAATAATTTGTTATGCTTAAAACCAACCCTTATTTTCTTAAAAGTGTCTTTGCTTGGATTGTAACAGCTTTGACTATTCCGATAGTAATTAATTGTTGTAGCCAAATCAGTGGCTAATTTCAGACTTTTGGGTGAGGAACTTCAATCCCCAGAAAATTTTGAGGGCTTGGAATGTTCTCCCCCAACAGAGTTATTTATATATAGGCCTAACAGATTTTTGAATACATTATTGAAAACTAAGTACCCTTTTACGATTCATTTTACTAGGCAACTAGTGTCAATATTTATGCCATTTTCATGTCGTTTCTATCATAACATATACAATAAACTTTTTAAATAAATAAAAATCATCTGACTGATTAAATTATAACTTTTGCTGAATTTAAATTTCTTCTCTTCGCCAAAACCTATAATTAAATTCAGTCAGATAATTTTTTTTTTAATTTAAAAAGTTTATTGAATTTATAATTTATAGAAACAATATGAATAAGACATCAATTTTTAAACTAGTTGTAGCCTAATAAAATGAATTTTGAGAGGGTACTTAGTTTTCAATAAAGTATTCTAATATCAAAATAGAAGCTCTAATCATCATAACAGATTTTATGTTTACAAACCAATAGTGTGAACACACAATATTTTAGCTATAGAGTTGATTTTTACTCATATGGTTAAAAGAATATTTAATTTGCCTTTTTCTGCAGCGCGAAGTAAAACAAAAATGTGTCTAAATCTAAATTTTACAGTTATGTGTAAAATATGAGTACCGGTATTGTAAGTTAATTTACACATTTTCTGCAACTAATGACATTTTGTATTTACTAAAAACCCACACAACTATGGTAGTTGCGGTGACATAATTAGAACACTGCAGTTGATAAGCTCAAATGTCATAAAAATCCATGTCACTAAAGATAATCTCAAAATTGAGAAATTATACTACATTCAATAAAATTTGCTGCTTCATTTGTATCTTTTTCTGACGCAAAAACCTAAATTAATGATTTAGAATTAACCACCTCAAAGCTTTAATTCTGTGTTGAAACTGTATAAAAGCTCCATAATTATTTGTTTAATATAATAAAAAATATGGAAGACAATAAATAAATACCAAAGAATGGGTTGTATGCGGAACAGCTCAAATCCAGGAGAAAAACTAAAATCAGCCATTGCCATAAACTGCACATCTGCAAAATAGAAATACCTATGTAGGTAAGTGAATAACATCTGACGCTTTGTTGGGCTTCAAGGTATTTTTAAGACCTAAAAATATCAGCAGAGAATAAAACTAAAGACACATTGTTCATTCAAGATTTATAGCTTTTGAAGTTCAAACTGGAACCTACAAAATACATATATGAAGAAAAATAATAATACATAAATATTAATAATAAACATTAATATACATAAATTAAAGAAAAACATTATAATTCAGTACCTATTTTAATTTTCACACAAAAATATTAATCGTTAAAAAATATATAATAATCTAATTAAATTTTAACAACCATACCACATTAATAAAGCAAAAAAGTAACAGATAAATTGAAGAGTATGGTTAACAGAAACAGAGACTATTAGAAACAAACACCCAATACACTTGGCAACTAACTGGATGTAAAAGATCAGGAAATATTAATTTTGGGAGATCTTATGAATATGCGATTAAGGAACCACACGTATGTAATTAGGAAATAATGCTCACTTTGAAGGATAATTGAAGTAGTATTGTTAGTGTTCCCTAGATGCTCTGTCCTGTCGAATTTCAAACAAGGACACAGCTGATTAACATTAACGATTTTATATTGAGATAACTGTAAACAGTCAAGGACATTGAAAGACAACAATGAGAAGTTATCTATCTATATATTAATAGGCAAGCATGTTTCTTTAAAACCTTTTTTCTCAGCTCGTGTTCATCGTAGGGAAAATCTACGCATACCGTTAGAAAACTATTTTCCTGTAGGTGTGCAGAATCCCTTTATAAATTTAAATAGGCTCAAAGATAAGCACAAAAAATGAGTTTAAAAATTTGAAAATATTAACATGGATCTTATGCGTTGCCATGCTGGTAACGAAAATAACAACGAAATATAAACAGAAAACCAAAACAAATGGAAGAAACTCAAATCACATGTTTTATTTACAGTGTGGGGTGAAAATAGATAAGTGAGTACATTACGTATTTTTGGTCGAGTTTCGACCACTGGACGACCTCTCGTACTTATTTAATATGCAAGCAGGATTTTTGTGACGATCACTCCTCCGAAACTTCTGAACCGATTGACATGTTTTTGGTGTCATTGGAAAGAGCGTAACGAAGTTGTGCAGGAAACTTTCTTTTTATGGAAATAATTAGAGAGTGAGGCCCTGGAGCCCTTTAAAGTTTTGTATTTCTCCATAAGATTAACATGGGAAACAAAAATTGTTATTAAACTCCAGCTGTTGTCAGAAATTAAAAGTGAGAAGAAGAACATATGATGATTGTAAACAGTAAAACAGTCAAGTTTGCTAATTTAACAGTTTGCTACAAACATTTACTGACTTGGTTGAAATGATGTATTTACTATTTGAACTTGGGTTGGCGTAAATATTACAGCGGAAAAAAAGCGAGATAGCCTGGATAAATCGATATAATCTGTTATGTACATCTTGAGTTTTTCCATAATCTTTGAGTCGAATCTTTTAAAGTCATCAGAAATTATGAATGTTATTGGTTTTAAAATAACGCCTGTAATACTTAGCAATTGCTCGAATTTGAGCAAAAGGGACACTAGTAAATTAGCAATACGCCACCCAGGTGCATTTTTTACCCAAATATGAGTGAAGGATAGTGTGAGATAATCTGTGTAGCTTTGTTACTGACTAAGATCAGCTGTTTCATTAGCCAGGGTCATTTATTTAAAGCCCAACAATCAGGAACAGCTTAGTCCAGTTTGGAACCATCAAAAAGAATAACTTCTCTATATATGTGGTATCAATGGATTTCTAGCAATTTATTAATTTAGGCTGCGTTATGAGTCTACATTGTGTTAAGTTTGTAGGGAAGCTGTAAAAAAAAACCATACAATCTTACCGAAATAGAAGTATTTAACTATAAGTAATCAACTCGAGAAACAGTTGTCTCTCAACATAATCAACTAAACAGCAGCTGGTACATACTTTCCTATGAGTTTATCATAATATTATTTACCGGCACTTACAAGAACTCATTTAAAATCACCCTAAACTATGCAAGAAAGTTTTAATCAACTCCAACACTCTTAAAGCTCAAGACCAACTTATTTTATATCGGGTCTTTGGCATCCAGGAACATCAATCTAGAAATGTCATCTTTCTCAAAGCTTTATTAAAAAATAATAATAACTGTGGTGTAATGGTCGTTTTCCTCATTTACTGAAGGTAATGTTGTTAAGTTTTCTTTATAAACCAACCAAAACAATATGAATTGTTAATAAACCCCCGCCGCAGCAAACCTGCCGACTAAGCGAATTTCCATTATTCTGAATTGATTTTCAATCCTACTACAATATTATAAATGAATGTATGGATGTATGTTTGTGACAAGTGAACGCGAAAAATACTGGTCGGATTGGGCTGAAATTTGGCATGATGATAGCTCACATTCCCGATTAACATATAGGCATATTCTTATTTCAAAAATCCTTTCGGGCTCCGCCCCAGTGGCTCTGGAGTTTCCCATGTTAACCTTATGAGAAATGGAATTATTGAATCTTAACAGCTGTTTCAATTAAACAAGTTGGTTCTGTTCTATGATGTTCAATAGCATTAAAGTTACAAGGATTACCAACAGGGTGCAGCACTATTATTTCTTTTACATTTATGACAACAGCTAATTTGCAACCAAAAGGTGAGTGAGCGTAGCGAACGAACTTCAACCTGGAGGCGAGTTAGCGTAGCGAACGAGCTAACCTGAAGGCAAGTGAGCGCAGCAAACGAGCTCCAACCTAAAGGTGAGTGAGCGTAGCGAACAAACTTCAACCAGGACGTGATTGAGCCATGCGAACGAGTTAATCTTGAAAATTAAGAATTTAAACGGGGCAAAGCCCGCGGGTTACAGCTAGTTAAATATATTTTAATAACAATAGGTTTAACGAGTACCTAGGTTTGCTGCTACAAGAAAACTAATAAAGTGTGTTTTTTAGTAAAATATTGATAGCTTAGTACA